ATGCCTATACTTAACTCGATTGCTAGAGACCTTATAGTTTTATAAACAATAAAAATGACACAACACAATAATTTTCACAAGATTCTATTAAATAGTGACCACGAATCCCTGTATGTTATCAGAGTACAGTTTGTATAAAATTTATTCACACTAACCGATTATAGGTGGTAAGATTTGAAAACTAGCACAATATGATGTTATCAGTCAATTTAAAAGATAGTGTACTCACTACCCAATCAAGCACAGTTTATGTTGATTTAAAATCAAAAAACAAAATATATATTTAATGTCAGACTTTGAATACCTCTGTGAAAAAAAACGTACGTGTAATGTGCTCTTAGTCTGTCGCAGTACAATAGTCGAACCTGTCTTTTAAAGAAAAAGCTTTCCCTGCTCGGTGCTGCACCAAACAGACAAAACTTTGAAGGCAGTAATTTTCTCAAGTGGGCGTCTATTGCACCCACCGAGTACTATGTTACCTATCTGCCTTTGGACTGCCCGAGCTAGGCCTACTAAAATCCTCAGGGCAGTCACTTTTCCCAAAAACGTATTATGTTACAATCCACACCAATGAATCACGCACTTTTTAATTTAGACTTAGTGTCGCGAATATCCGAGTTCGGACCTGTTTTGTTTTGGTCTGGTTCTTATTGGAAGGCAAGTTACCAGTGCAGTCACTGATACCTAGCCTGTGTGCTACTAACCTGATACCTCTCACTTTTTAGTCTTTCTTTCGTCTACCTAAGTCCTTTAATAAAATAATACCCCTCCGGGTTGGCACAAATAGGACCCTTCCGAACTGGCAGAATCTAGACCCCTCCGGATTGGGACCCCTCTGAGTTAGTTAATACAAGACCCCTCCGGATTTGGACCCCTCCGAATTAGCAACTATAAGACCCCTCCGGATTCGGACCCCTCCTAACTTGAAAAACCTTTGACCCCTCCGGATTGGGAGACCTCCGGTTTTGTAAAAGTAGCTTTTCGGAGTTTACCTTCTTTCAACCTATACCCCTCCGGATACGTTCTCCGATGCAATTTTGCTCTTTCAATTAACTAGGAAGGGTATGTGCTACTTTCCTAGACCCTTTCGGATTGAAGTTAAGCCTCTTATTTGACAATTCACACTAACGGTGAAGGGTCTTATCGCTCGCCTAACTTCGGCACGATTAAGGTTTTGCTGTGCCTTTAGCCTTCCCTTTTCGTCTAGCACAGCCTAAAGTTACTTTATTCAACCGCTATCACCTTTTAGTAGGGGTATAAGGGCTTTTCTAAAAGAAATTTATAAAACGTGAAGGGTCTACCTTGTAAACGTGAATTTGCTAAAAACAATCTCAAAAAAATTTTCACGCTTATTTTTTCGAAAAACTTTTGTCTCTATCAGTAAGCTCAGCTAATTTCTGATCTATTGGTACCAAGATCAACTCGATATGCCCAGTAGTTCCAATGTTATTAACCAAAACGTCTTTCTTCTAAACTCAAAAATTTTCTCTCTTATAGGTTCCGCCTAACTTTTTCCGCAAATCTGGTCCTTTCGTCCTAAAAATTATTGACCCGAGCTCAAAAGGCCTATACTCTTCTAGTTCAATGCAAAACACCCGATCTAAAACGCTTTAGTTGAAAAAATTTGAGAAAAACTATACTACCTGTACCCCTCCGGATTGATGAATCCACCAAATCAAACACGTTAAGTTCGATTTCTCTGCAACCCGGAAGGCTTTCGGGTAGCGGGTTTTAAAACTTGTAGATTCACTAGTAGACGTTGTCCGAACAACTATTTTTACTGTCGTAACTCAAAAATTTCAAAAAGTTTTCTAAATTTATAGTGTTTCGTTTTCTCAAAAATCACGAAAATTTGGTTTTTTGTTCCAAATTAGTTCCAACCACTTCCGAACTAAACTTAACCGGTTCTATCTATTATGGTAGTGCAGTTACGATGTAACACACTAACTTAGCGCTTTTTTCCGTTTCAAAAAATATCGATATTTCAAAAATCGCGACTTGTGGGGGGATCAAAATATCGCTATTTTGACCCTAAAAACCGGTCTGTTTTCGTTGTTTTTCACTGAAAAACGATAAAAGACTATTAATATAGGCTCTATAAGTAATAATAATAGTAATACTATACCCCTCCGGGTTTGTTTAATATCCGAATTAAGGTGCTTAACTCGGATATTCGCAGTTCGGTGAAGGGTCACTACAGTGCAGCACTGTCGAGCCCCCCACAGATTACTATCTTAATTTTTGTACCAAAAGGGACACAAAACTTGCTAACGATACCCAACAGTCGATTGTTGTTGTCGTTGAGCCCCTTCTTGTTGCTCCTTGTACTGCTTGCCCGATCAGTCTTCTCCCAAGACCCTTCCGAATTGAGCGCAAATCAGCTGACCCTTCCGGATTGAGCGCAATTTATCATTAACGTGCTTAAATGCTCAAATAATCCTACAGTACAAGCCTCACAAACGGGCTACAAAACTGATCACAACAATCTTGACTGATATAAATGCCTGTAACAACAATATATCTATCAACAACAAACGGGGGGGTCGGATCACATCTTGTCTGGAGTGATGATTTCTACTGATTTTATACTTTTTTACTGTTTTTGGTTTTTTCGTATGTTTTTTTTATGTTTTTTGTTTTTCTTGGGTACTATACTAATTTTTGTTTGGTTTTATATATATCTTTAAGTGTTTTTGGTCACAAACCATTCAGGAGATGACGGGACCGCGAATCCCCCCACCCTTCCTGGTTCGTGAATTTTCGGTCTTAACTAAGTTTAAAAGCTATTCACGGTAATCCGGAAGGCTTCCGCGTTCCGAACTACCCTTCCGCCCCGGCGGTTTAGGCCTATTAAGGGCGTTAATGTGAGCATCCGCTCGGCGCGGAGTGCTCGTTAACGGTTCTGCCGGTCATGATGTTAAAAAGAATAACACCCAGGAGCGCCATAAAAACATCTATGTAAAATTCGCCCGGAAGATACATATCGACGGAAAACAAAACTAAGTCTTAAGACGACTGGCTAACGTCTAAACAGAGCTTTGCATGCTTTTCACCGTCTCTACCAAGCCAGTACTTTCGGTGGTCTTTTCTAACATCGGGTCGACAAAAACGTTACTGCTTCCGGCTTCGGTCAAAACACTCAAATTAACTAGATTACATGCAGAAATAGTGAGCTCATGGCTGGGTTTGAGTATCCCCAGACCAAGAGGTCACTCCAAAAAACAGGGCTACTACTATTGATTATATTACTATTGTTTTTGTTCAGTAGATAAAAATCATCATCTCCATCGAAGATGGATCAACCCTTTCCCCCAACTCCTAGCTTCTCATCCTTATCAAAATGAATCCAGATGTTAATTAAATTCAAATCAGGACATGACAAGAAGCTAAAAGTCTATATAACAGGCTAAAAGTTTCAGTCCCGAAACCCTTCCGGATTCTTGAATCCACTGAATCAAGCTCGCTAATCTTGACTTCCTCTTAATCCGGAAGGCTGTCCTCCACCCTTCACCGTTGTCTGCAACGGCCCTGCAACTATTGTAGCGACACAATGGTTGCAACTCGGAGTGTTCACTGCTATTTCTGCAATCGGCTATTGTTTTTTCTCACAATTTTCGTACTTCTCATCCGCGCAACTAATGTTGTTGTGTTTTTCTTATATTTCTTTGCCAAAATGGCCGTTTCTGACGTTTCTCAGTGTAACATTCGTCTACTGTAGTCACACATGAGGCTTAAGAAAAATAGGCCCTATAACCATTGGCTCAAGAGTCAGGGACACTATCTCTTGTGTTTTTCTACCTCAAGAACGGTCGGAGCCAATTCGGTTCGCTTGCGACATGAGACTGGAACCCGTTACAGCTTAAAGGCCACTACCAAAATACCCCCCCACTCTAGAAATAAAAACGTCCCCATACTTAGGTCTCGAAATACCCAAAATACATGAACGCCGTTAAAAACCGGGTCGGAACAATCCGCTTAGTTACTTCTTATTGGACAGTGGAACTTTGATCCATTTCAGATGGATCAACCTGAAACTCGCCTTATCTCAACATAACTATCATAAAATACACTCGAGAAATTTAAATTGAGAACTCACATGTCGATGCACTTGAGTATGAGGAATAACTAAAAGATAAGCAGCTTGAGAACTAATAATATAACTGAACAAGTTTGATGCTAATTAGTTTTAACAACAGAAGTAAGTTCTGTCTCAAGAATCAAAGTTTCTGAATGAACCATTGGGACACTCGAGTTGTCCACTCTTCCATTGAATGTTCACTCCTTTCCGTTCGAATAGTCGTCCTTTCTCAAGTCTGTATTCTATTCTCCTGTTTTCAGGATAAGACAGCTCTACTCTCTGATTATTTCGTATCGAGAAATTGCGAATAGCAATTTCCTGCCTTTTTCTTGAGTAGTTTCCCGCAATTGTTAATTCGGACGTTCTGATTTTTGATTTTTGCGTTTTCAGTTGGTTCGAGAAAACCGAGCATGACAGGCTCCATTCGAAATTTTTAAAATTAAAACTTCACACCAAAATTACGTGTTTCTCAAGGTCAAACCTCCAGACATGACCGACTGGCACACAGAAATGTTACGTCATCACTTCGAATTTTTAAAATTTTATAATACCAGAATATTCTGGCCCTCACCGTTTGGCCAATCGTTCCAATAACGTTCTTAATTCTTAATAATCATCAATCCGGAAGGCTCGCTGCTAAAAATTCGAATTCTGCAGAGATTGCATTTTTCACATTCTGGTCGAATGTCACACAATTTTGTGTCTGTATGTTTCTGGATGCCAGAGACAAGTCTTTAAACATGTGAAAATTTTGTCGGAACGATCAAAGGAAAGTAAAGAACAAAGGGAGCGTCCTTGTTGCGGAATATGCTTACAATGCACAGTTTGGCCTCGTAATGAATGTGATGAAGCGACTCCTGACTGTAACCTCCGTTACTATGATAATACTTTCCTTCTACTGATTTTATGAGAAAGTTTCGGTATCTTTTTAGATAGATATGGTTCAAGCTTTTTCAGGACAAGTTGAGGCCTTCAAAAGTGAAGCACTTGAGTGCATAACTTTTCATTATGGTTAGCGGTCGACAACACGTTTTCTTAGTTAAACTTACTACTTTTTATTGACTGGTTTAGAATCATGTTCCTATTTAGTTCACTCAATCGAAGACTTTGAAAATGATCGCGTAACGTTTAAACCACAGTTTGCTCATCAGATATTTGGAGAGGAGTTAGTACACAGCCTTGTTCTGAGCAATAGTTGCTTTGACCTCTATGATTTTAAGTTTTTTTACTATGTTGCCAGTGAGACAATTTTTGGATACAAGGACCTGGCAATAGACATGTACTACACAGCCGGAACTCTCAAATGCTTCATTCGCGTTAATTATTCAGGAAGAATTGAGGAGTCAATTGAAGCTAAGGTAGGTTAAATTTTTACTTGATTATGTGCAATTTTGTATGCAGGGGCGGATCTAGGGTTTTTCGAGGGGGTGGGCAGATCTTCAAAAGAAAAAATTGAAAATATTGTCGACTTTTTTTAGGTCGACCAAATTGGTTTTCTGAGCTCTCCCAAATCACTCTAAAGACCCCATTTTGACCAAAAATAGGCAAAAAAAAAGCGTTTTAAGGCAATTTTTGGAAAATTTTGACCGAAATATTGCGTTTTTTCGGTGCGTGCTCGCCCCTCAGAATTAGTATATTTTTGGGCCAAAGGCGCCTTTTAGAAAATTTTGAGGGGCAGTCAGCCAAAAATGGATATCTCAAAAAAGTACAAAGGGGGAACCTTTTGGTCGGCAGGGGTCGAATCCCTGAGGGGTGGGGGCGTCCGCCCTTCGCACCTCCTACCTAAATCTGCTGGTGCGTGTATGCTCTCGTACCAGTATCTGCTACAAAAGAAATTCATCTTTCTAGGTTGATGATGACCCTCAAGAGAGCTTGAAGAAGAATTTTACAAATGGAATCATATCGTCGGAATTCGACTTCTTGAAAGAACTAAAAAAAGACGAGGCTTTCAAACCACACGGAATGCTGCTTACTCAATATTCTCGTTATGATGGTAAATATAAACTTTTATCTGAAGTTCACTATATTTTAACTCTCGTAAAATAATTTTTAAAGTTTTCTTTAGATCACAAGGAAAAGTGTTTCTGCCTATTTAAATCAGATAGCACTACTCCTGGGTTTTTGAGCTACCACAAAGATATGCAGACATTTCTCACATGGTTCATCGATGGCTCCAGTTTCATTGAAGACGATGACCCCGAGTGGAAGTTCTATACAATGTTTGTATTTATGTTTCTGTTCTTCACCCGCGCGATAATAAATGGTGTTGCAAACGGGTACTTGACTTTTTTTCACCTAAACAACTTGGTTGACAAGATTTCGCAGATGCTTCATCTTACTTCATAATGAGTTCAAAAATATAGCAGCCTCCCAGCGCATCTAACGTAGAGGTAACACATTCGGTTGATACTACCAAGGCTTGTGGTTCGACCGAGACCTGTTTTTCTTTTAAACTAGATATCTTTTGCTTTTTTGGATCATCGTCCAGCTGTTTATTTTTTGTCGGCCTACTTCCCGTAGCACAGACTCTTGTTGAAAGTGCTGCTTTCATTTATAATCATCAATGCGATTTCTAAAGCCTGATTGGTGGAAGTATTTGAGTTAAAAGATATTTTGCGGAAATTTTTTTTTTGGAAATTTTTCATTTTTCTTTTTAAATTTTGCAAGAGAAAAACAGTCAATCGTCAAAACTTTTTCAAAATAACAAATTCATCATCAGAGTCTAAAATTATACCAAACGTTAAAAAGGCGTACAATCTTAAAAGTGGACACATACCAAGATAAATTTACAGATAAAGCACCGTAAAAATGTAGGGGTTCCATGCCATACTGCGATGAGATCATGAAACAGTGCGAGAGTTTGTGTGATCTGTACTCTTCCTTCCGATTAATTAATGTGCACTGTATGTTTACCTATGAGATGATTGTGCTCGCGTTTAGCCAGTGTTATCAGTTCGGAACATAGACTTGTTCTTCTAAAGATTTTGTCCATAAAATCATTTTTTTTAAAGCTGCACTTTCTTCAACCAACAGACCTGCGTTCAGAATGTATACATTAAAAATACCCGTTCCATTCAATATTTATTTTTACCCATGCGATAAGCAAGGGTATTGCAACCGGATGCTATAGTTTTTTCCCGTAAGTAAGTTTGTTCACAATGTGGTCAAATCGAAGGAAATTAGAATTGGTAAATTACTTATGTACAACCTACATCTTACATGTGCCTTGCTATGTAGTTGGAGTATGCAAGTTCTGAAATGTGATTTTTTTCTCTGAAATAGTTTTTTTTCTAGCTTTCTGGATGTTGAACTGAATTTATTGGCTTATTTACCTTGTTTTTGTCTATTGGAAAAATTAATTAGTACAACAGAAATAGTATATTTTGGGGCCAAAGGCGCCTTTTAGAAAATTTTGAGGGGCAGTCAGCCAAAAATGGATATCTCAAAAAAGTACAAAGGGGGAACCTTTTGGTCGGCAGGGGTCGAATCCCTGAGGGGTGGGGGCGTCCGCCCTTTGCACCTCCTATCTAAATCTGCTGGTGCGTGTATGCTCTCGTACCAGTATCTGCTACAAAAGAAATTCATCTTTCTAGGTTGATGATGACCCTCAAGAGAGCTTGAAGAAGAATTTTACAAATGGAATCATATCGTCGGAATTCGACTTCTTGAAAGAACTAAAAAAAGACGAGGCTTTCAAACCACACGGAATGCTGCTTACTCAATATTCTCGTTATGATGGTAAATATAAACTTTTATCTGAAGTTCACTATATTTTAACTCTCGTAAAATAATTTTTAAATTTTTCTTTAGATCACAAGGAAAAGTGTTTGATGTTAAGGTCACGCAGGTTACAGTCTGCATTCAGCTCCCTCTGCACGTCTTGTGTCGCCCGTAATACCGAGTCACCGTTGGGACTAGGACACCTTGTTGGCCTCATCAATTCCCACACTGCCATCAAGCTCGTTCTCAGTAATTCATCTGAGAATCCCAACCCAAACTCCACTCTTTTGTCGGATTTTGGTACTGAAGGTGCAGTCATCTCTTCTTCCAAGACCAGTCCCAATTTGGCCTGGATTGTTAACGCTTTTAATCGTCACAATTCTGGACGTCCAGAATCTTAGTAACACCGCCTGCTCATAATCGAAGAAGCAATCGCGTTTGTCTTCACTCAGGAAAGGATTGTACGCGATCCCTATGATTCCGGATACGTAGCTATACGATTTCTTCTTGATCGGTCCACAGAATTCACTGGATTTCGGCAATGCCCCCATAGATTCTTTAGTGAGTCTCAGCTCCTTGTTTGAGAATCTCCTGATTTCGTCTATCTTTTTTATAGGTTCTAATTCCTCGGGTTCTATCATGTTCACCCTCATCGGTTTACTTTGCTGCATATCCAGCAGTGCTAGCAAGAATAAGGCTTTCGTTCGCTCATCGCCTTCCCTCAACATTTTAACACAGGTGTTCAGTGCAGGTACTGAAATCTGCTCCATCATGAATCGAATGAAACAGAGAGCGTCTCTCCGCTTCGCACATGCTACTGCTGCTCCCTCTTGGACTATCAGATCCCTCAGGTTCGTCATAAGGAAAACCTTCTCTTCTTTTGACCTCTTCCTTTCTTCTGAATCATATTCCTCGCGAGTCAATCCCATCATGCACCAGGCAAACCTCAGTTGTAACTCTGTTCTTATGTAAGGTACTGCCATGAGAGCGTGTATTCTTGTCGCAGTCCTCATCTCTTCCTCGAAGTACCGTAACACCACTGCTTTCCATGGAAGGCTCACCAACTGCTCCATCGTTTCTGCCTGTATCTCAGACGACGCTAAAGTCCCGTACGCCTTCTGCTTGAGGGTGGTGCCTTGCAACATTGTCTCCAGATAACCCTCCATGGCACTCTTATCTTCCAGAGCTATCACATACCCTCTAGCCAAGTTTCGGTACTCCAACATCTCCATGTATCCACCGGCGGGTTCATCTATCGACACGGCCTCCGATACTGTCAGTCGGTTGTATTCTACTGGTACTAGTTGTCCTGCGACATTTCCTTTTCCGTGATTCATGGGAGATGGCTTAAAGTCTTTCATTGTTCTCTCTCCACATTGGCTGAGTATTTCCATTTCTAAGGTTGCTCCAGTCAGAGCGCGGTCACTCCTTTTGGATTTATAACCTGATGACTTTATTCCCGCCATGAGAATGGGTGGCACCATCGCTATATCAGTCAACATTTTATCTGTGCCAGGCAATTGATAATCACCTTGTCCCAAATCCATGACCTCTTCGACTAGTTTCCTTTTCGCTGAATTGACAGCTTTCATCGATATCTGCGAATCCACCTTCGTCTTTCCTACTCTCCTCGGCATCACTCTGCTGCCTAACTTCATTTTCATCGCGTTGATCTTATCAATCACCAATTTCGATCGCATCGTTCCTCTCCTGGTTCTTGACAGATATACCACCTTTCCTTTATCGTCCTGCGGTGTCATCTTGATGGGAGATTTCGTTTCACTTTCATCAGTGGCTGAGTCAATCAACAACTCACTCAATCTCCCTTCACACTCATCAAGCTTGTCAAGGACTTCCCGCATCAAGGGTCGGTTGAGACCCGTTTTCAGAATGGACTGGGTCCCATAGCTCTGAAACACTGTCCAGACTTCTTCCATGAACGCCACTCTGTCCAATCTGCATCCCGTCCTACTTTCATGGTCTCGGTGATGTACTTCCCATTCTTCTTCGGGCAACGTTCCCAAGAAAGGTACTCTGGCTGAGCCCTCTATTCTTCTTCTTCTAGGTGATTCCATGAGGATTCTTTGTTCGTTATTTCTTGAATTGCCAGGAGAGCTGCTCTCCGGCAAATTCCGTTTCATCTCCATAAAGGCTGACGGAGGCTCCAGTGTCGAAATGCCTTCATCCGCTGGCTCAGTCGTCTCTAACGTATCCGCGTTGTGCTCAAGATCACTGAAGATATTGAAATCCAGGCTGGATACCCCTCCTGTCGATGCCCTGTCGTCTTCCCCACCAGCTTGACTTGCATCTTGTTGCATGGGTTCTTCGGTTTGACGGCTTCCTCCCTGTCCGTCATCTCCTTCTGACATATCTTTCTTTGAGCTCGAGGGTCCTTGTTTATCATTGTCGGTTCCTTCCGGAAACTTCAGTATGATCAATTTACCGGCCGATCTATCTTCCTCTTCTCCATGGACCACTTTGATTTCCTCGCAGCCGAAGGGTGCTAGAAAAGTTCTCGTTCGCAGCGTTCCTACTACCGTCAACTCCGGTTTCACACTAGTCAGGATCAAGGAGGCCTCAGGCAGTTCGGACCTGCCTCTCATCTTCATAGGCGCTAAGCCTAATCCCGCCCATTCCTCATCAAATCTTCCAGGCTTGGGAGTCGCGGCGTTGCTTATTCGCCTTCTCGTCGCTTGATCCGTATAGGCAAATTGTGTGTACTGTAACACGGCGGCATTTCTCCCCACAAAGTATGCATCCATCGTTGCTACAAAATTCCCTACTCTCCTTTCATTGGTTTCGAATGCTCTCAACCTAGGAGTTTGTACCACGGAGACTGCTCCGAGCAACATCCTTCTTATGAAAGGGAATTCAGGGATTGCCTCCGGCAGCTTCTCGTAATCACCCCAGTATTTCGTCTCTTCTCTCACTTTATGATATGCTGCAGTGAGACGAGGCACACTGGTTATCTCACCATTCGTTTTATCATAGGGTCTCAGATTCCAAAGCTTCGGAAACACCTCGATGTGTCCTCTTTCTACTTCTCCCATGCGATCACGGAAGTGATCGTCAAAATTGATGACTGTCATCTCTGGCTCTAATATTTTCGCAAATAACATATCTTCACTCATGAGCTCCCGCAATATGTGCTGCTCACACCAGCTCAGTGCACTACCGTCCACTGCTGATATGAGGTTCAGGTGCAGCACCGACCTCCTATACGCCTCCACCTTAACGTCAGGGAACGCAAACGTGACTGCTGGTCCATAGATCACTGTCACAAACTCCGTGACTCCTCTGATCAGTGCTAAGGGATCGGTTCTCATAGCCAAGCTCAGATTGGTTAACAGGGGCATGCCTCCAACATGTCGTCTAACATCTTCTTCTCTTTCGATAGTCTCATCTATTCCCGTTCCAAAGCGATTTTGTTGTAAGAGATATTGGATAAGAATGTGTCTCAGGTCTCTTATCTTATTCCACGAGTCCGTGGATTTCTTCATATCTAAATTCCTCACTCTCTCTCTCATCTGATCTGGACAAAGTGTCAATTTCATTAGTCCTCCCAAGTTTCCGTGGGTAATCGCAATCAGTGTTAGAAGTCCATCTAACCGCAGGTTCTGGATTCCTTCGGTGAGCAGAATCGCCGG